CCCATACAAGTCCTACATCCCATACAAGTCCTACATCCCATCCAAGTCCTACATCCCATCCAAGTCCTACATCCCATCCAAGTCCTACATCCCATCCAAGTCCCACATCCAAGTCCTCACCCATCCAAGTCCTACATCCCATCCAAGTCCTACTTCCAATACAAGTCCTACTTCCAATACAAGTCCTACAGCCACACGACTCCTACATCCCATCCAAGTCCTACATCCCATCCAAGTCCTACATCCCATCCATCCTACTTCCAATACAAGTCCTACAGCCACACGACTCCTACATCCCATACAAGTCCTACATCCCATCCAAGTCCTACATCCCATCCAAGTCCTACATCCCATACAAGTCCTACAGCCACACGACTCCTACATCCCATACAAGTCCTACATCCCCATACAAGTCCTACATCCCATACAAGTCCTACATCCCATACAAGTCCTACATCCCATACAAGTCCTACATCCCATACAAGTCCTACATCCCATCCAAGTCCTACATCCCATCCAAGTCCTACATCCCATACAAGTCCTACAGCCCACACTCCTACATCCCATACAAGTCCTACATCCCATACAAGTCCTACATCCCATACAAGTCCCCACATCCCATACAAGTCCTACATCCCATACAAGTCCTACTTCCCATACAAATCCCACATCCCATACAAATCCCACATCCCATACAAGTCCCATATCCCATACAAGTCCTACTTCACATACAAATCCCACATCCCATACAAGTCCCACATCCCATACAAGTCCCACATCCCATACAAGTCCCACATCCCATACAAGTCCCACATCCCATACAAGTCCCACATCCCATACAAGTCCCACATCCCATACAAGTCCCACATCCCATACAAGTCCCACATCCCATACAAGTCCCACATCCCATACAAGTCCTACATCCCATACAAGTCCTACATCCCATACAAGTCCTACTTCCCATACAAGTCCTACTTCCCATACAAGTCCTACTTCCCATACAAGTCCTACTTCCACACGAGTCCTGCTTTCCTTACGAGTCCTGCTTCCCATATAGGTCCTACTTCCCATACAAATCCCACATCCATTCGACTCCTACATGCTGTACAAGTCCTACTTCCAATGCAAGTCCTACATTCCATACGAGTTTTACTTCCCATACAAGTCCTACATCTATATGACTCCTACATCCCATACAAGTTCTGTTTCCCATACAAGTCCTACTTCCCACAGAAATCCCACATTCATACAACTCCTACATCCCATACAAGTCCTACATCCCATAACCAAGGGATGTGAGTAGTCCCATAGTCCTGACATCTCTAATTCCTTACTTCCCCCTATATGGGAAGCTCAAGGATATAGGTCCTCAAAGCTTACATCTTTGTCCCCTCAAACTGCTTCCCATGATCAAGGAAAGTGGAGAAGATGAGTCCTCCCCAGCCTGACTGTTCCTGGCCCCGCCCCTTCTCAGCCTGACTTCCCTTGCCCCGCCCCTTTCATCCCCACCCTGACTGTCTCTGGTCCCACCCCTTTCCTCCCCAGCCTGACTGGCCCTGCCACTTTCCTTCCCAGCCTGGTTTTCCCCCATCGCTTTCCTCCCCACTCTGACTGTCCCTGGTCCCACCCCTTTCCTTCCCAGCCTGGCTGTCCCTGGCCCCACCCCTTTCCTCCCCAGTACACTAAACTGCCATTTTGACCACATAGTTCCCAACCCTAACCATGAAGACATGTACTGTAGTGCCCAATTTAGGGAAATACACCAAACTACCTACTTTGATTACATGGTTCTCAACCCTGACTATGGAGATATTTAGGGAACTACACCAAACTGTCTACTTTGACTACATACTTCCCAACCCTAACTATGGTGACATCTAGTGCCCAATTTAGGGGAACTACACCAAACTGCCTACTTTGACTACATGCTTCCCAACCTAAATTATGGCGACATATTGTGACCAAATTAGTGAAGTACACCAAACTGACATTTTGACCACATAGTTCCCAGCCCTAACCATGAAGACATGTAGTGCCCAGTTTAGGGAAGTACACCAGAGTGCCTACTTTGACTACATGCTTCCCATCCATAACTATGGTGACATCTAGTGTCTAGTTTAGGGAACAACACCAAACTACTTACTGTGACTACATGGTTCCCAACCCTAACTATGGTGACATCTAGTGTCTAGTTTAGGGAAGTACACCAAACTGCCTAGTTGACTACATGGTTCCCAACCCTAACTATGGTGACATCTAGTGTCTAGTTTAGGGAAGTACACCAAACTGCCTAGTTTGACTACATGGTTCCCAACCCTAACTATGGTGACATCTAGTGAACAATATGAGGAACTACATCAGGCATCTTCCTGCCCACACTCACTATCCTTCGCTTGTACTGCTTAGTTGCTTTTGAAATTGCTGGTTTCTGGCTCGTCTTCAGTATTTTCCAGTTGCTGACCCAGAACCCATCCAACCAAGGTCAGAACCTCGATCTCTAGACTTGAGTCGGTCACTCAGGAAGTACTCTAGGCAGATAGGTTAATATTCATCTGAAACTGACCTGTCCTTGGGGGCCGATACAGCGGGGAGGTATCTGTGGCTTCTCCTACCAGGTTGTCTGTTTGTGAGATCTCTCCTCCAACATGGCGCCCGTGACATCCATACGAATCCTAAATATCAGCTATGGGTCCTGTAGTGGGGAGAAGTGTGCAAAGAAGTAATAGCTGGCAGAAACCAATCAGCACGATCTCCTCCTCTCGCTGTTTTGTTCGCTCAGCGTTCACCATCAGCTGAAAGTCCTGGAAGCGGAGGTGGGATTGGACTACGAACGCACCATGAACAAACTCATCTTTGACCATCTCGTCTCCTCGAAGCCGCAGAAATTTTCCTACGTCACCCTCCTGGAGAAGGTGGAGGAAAAGGTTCCGGAGAAAGGTAGGAGTGTCAGATCTTCCTTCTTCTGTCCATCTGCATGGAGTGTGTTTGCTGTACACCATGTTTGTGTTGGGTTCCCTTAACTCTGTGTGGTACATTCAAAAACCTTTGTAATTCTGTTCATCTGGTCTTGTGATCCAGTCACCCCTGCCAGACAGCATAGCTAAGTCGGGGACCGCACTTTCCTCTGCTGAAGTGAAAGCTGAAGTTTGAACTGCTTATATTTTCTGCCCCCCCCCCCCCCCCAACATACTAATCACATTTTTAAATAAAACCTTTCCATTTTCATTAAATACCTTGTTTTAGACTCAGTGATGTCATCACTGGGTCTCTGTGCTTCTCTATGTAGGCTGGGGAGAAAAGGGGCAGGACTAGGAAAGTCAGCACTTGGGAGGAAAGGGGCAGGGGCCAGGGACAGTCAGGCTGGGAGGGAAGGGGTGGGGCCAGGGGAGTCAGGCTGGAGGTAGGAGCGGGGCCAGTCAGCACTGGGGAGGAAAGGGACGGGGCCAGGTACAGACAGGCTGGGGAGGAAAGGGGCGGAGCCAGGGAAGTCAGGTTGGGGAGGAAAGGAGCGGGGCCAGGGACAGTCAGGCTGGGGAGGAAAGGGGTGGGGCTAGGGAAGGCAGTTTGGGGAGGAAAGGGGTGGGGCCAGGGACAGTCAGGCTGTGGCGGAAAGGGGTGGGGCCAGGGAAGTCAGATTGGGGAGGAAAGGGGTGGGGCTAGGGAAGGCAGGTTGGAGAGGAAAGGGGCGGGGCCAGGGAAGGCAGGCTTGGGGAGGAAAGGGGTGGGGCCAGGGACAGTCAGGCTGTGGAGGAAAGGGGCGGGGCCAGGGAAGTCAGGCTGGGGGTGAAAGGGACGGGGCCGGGACAGTCAGGTTGGGGAGGAAAGGGGCGGGGTCAAGGACAGTCAGGCTGAGGAGGAAAGGGGCGGGGCCAGGGAAGTCAAGCTGGGGGTGAAAGGGACGGGGCCAGGGACAGTCAGGTTGGGGAGGAAAGGGGTGGGGCAAGGGAAGTCAGGCTGGGGAGAAAAGGGGCGGGGCCAGGGAAGTCAGGCTGGGGGTGAAAGGGGTGAGGCCAGGAACAGTCAAGCTGGAGTGAAAGGGGCGGGGTCAGGGACAGTCAGGCTGGGGAGGAAAGGGGCGGGGCCAGGTAAGTCAGGTTGGGGAGGAAAGGGGTGGGGCCAGGGCCAGTCAGGCTGTGGAGGAAAGGGGGGGGGGCCAGGGAAGTCAGGTTGGGGTGAAAGGGGCGGGGCCAGGGACAGTCAGGTTGGGGAGGAAAGTGTGCAGCGTGTGTCTGTGGTTGGATTTTCAGCTCCCTCATTGGTGGAGATTCCAGGGGTTTGAAGAATATTTTAGCACAATCATTGATGTCAATGAAGGAATCTGACCTCTCTGCCGCCACTTCTCTCGTCTCCCCGCCGCCGCAGGTCTCGCCTACGTCCCGGATTACACTTACACCAAGAACCGGAAAGCTTTCATCTTCACCACCATCCTGACCAGGTCCGAGGTCATCACTTCGCTCTGCAAAGTCCGGGCCGAATGTAACCGAGTCTCCTCCATGTCCCTCTTCCATTCCAATCTGACCAAGTGTGTGCGGCTGGAGGAGTTCGAGCAAACGCAGTCACAGACCTTCTCCCAGGTACGTCCATTGTAGGCAAACTAGGCAGCCGCCCGAGGCAGAACGTTACATTGTATCCTTTGTAATCATTTCATGTATTACATATTATATTCTAAAACAGAGGTTTTCAAAACTGCAGCCCTTGGGGCACCTACTCCCTGTGACACCAATGACGGGGACTTACTCCCTATGACACCAATGATGGGGACTTACTCCCTGTGACACCAATGATGGGGACTTGTGACACTCCCTGTGACACCAATGATGGGGACTTACTCCCTGTGACATCAATGATCGGGACTTACTCCCTCTGACACCAATGACGGGGCACTATTCCTCCCACTGACACCAATGATGGGGCACTATTCCTCCTACTGACACCAGTGACGAGGCACTATCCCACTGACACCAATGATCACCCTCCACTGACACCAATGATGGGGGCACTATTCCTCCCACTGACACCAATGATGGGGCACTATTCCTCCCACTGACACCAATGACGGGGCACTGTTCCTCCCACTGACACCAATGATGGGGCACTGTTCCTCCCACTGACACCAATGACGGGGCACTGTTCCTCCCACTGACACCAAGGATGGGGCACTGTTCCTCCCACTGACACCAAGGATGGGGTACTGTTCCTCCCACTGACACCAAGGATGGGGTACACTGTTCCTCCCACTGACACCAAGGATGGGGCACTGTTCCTCCCACTGACACCAAGGATGGGGCACTGTTCCTCCCACACACTGGATGGGGTTACTGTTCCTCCCACTGACACCAATGATGGGGCACTGTTCCTCCCACTGACACCAAGGATGGGGCACTGTTCCTCCCACTGACACCAAGGATGGGGCACTGTTCCTCCCACTGACACCAAGGATGGGGCACTGTTCCTCCCCTGACACCAAGGATGGGGCACTGTTCCTCCCACTGACACCAAGGATGGGGCACTGTTCCTCCCACTGACACCAAGGATGGGGCACTGTTCCTCCCACTGACACCAAGGATGGGGCACTGTTCCTCCCACTGACACCAAGGATGGGGCACTGTTCCTCTCACTGACACCAAGGATGGGGCACTTCCTCTCACTGACACCAAGGATGGGGCACTATTCCTCTCACTGACACCAAGGATGGGACACTATTCCTCTCACTAACACCAATGATACATGCCATGCAACTTGTAAATCACATGCCAAGTCGCACCCTATTGTCTGCAATTAGAGCGGTCATATCAGTGAGGTTCCTACTTGGAGCCGCACCGATTCCTAAAGCAGAACACACATTGCTTTTGGTGCGATTTGCATAGACCTCTGTGTCAGATGTTTTTCAAATCGCACCTGAGATTAGCATGTCACCCAACTTCACTGTAAGTTGCACGATTTCAAAGTCGGGTTTGATGTGACCGGGGTGTGAGTGTGAACGGGGCCCGAGAGGAATGGCTCCTGGTCACATTTCCACCTCTCTATAGTTTAGATAGGGGAGCGGTGGCGTGATGAAGCATAAGACAGGGTGTAGAAGGGTTGGAACATCTATGGGGCTTGTGTTACGTTCTGATTCCACTAAGGAGATTCCTGCTCACGGTGTTTCTCTCTGATGGGCTCACAGACAGCAATAAACACCTTGGAGAAGTTCTAACCTCTTCCCAGCTCCTCCAAAAACAAAATGAACATATGTAGTAACATACACACTCACCAGCCAATCACACGGCAGCAGCTCAATGCATTTAGACATCTAGACGTGGTGAAGACGACTTGCTGAAGTTCAAACCGAGCATCAGAATGGGGAAGAAAAGGGATTTAAGTGACCTTGAACGTGGCATGGTTGTTGGTGCCAGATAGGCTGGTCTGAGTATTTCAAAAACTGCTGATCTCCTGGGATTTTCACGCACAACCATCTCTAGGGATTACAGAGAATGGTCCGAAAAAGAGAAAATATCCAGTGAGTGGACGAAAATGCCTTGTTGATGGCAGAGGTCAGAGGAGAATGGGCAGACTGGTTGCTGTGACATTCAGATGGTAGGGTGAGAATTTGGTGTACACAACATGAAAACATGGATCCATCCTGCCTTGTATCCATGGTTCAGGCTGGTGGTGGTGTCATGGTGTGGTGGATCCATCCTGCCTTGTATCAATGGTTCAGGCTGGTGGTGGTGTCATGGTTTGGTAGATCCATCCTGCCTTGTATCAATGGTTCAGGCTGGTGGTGGTGGTGTCATGGTTTGGTAGATCCATCCTGCCTTGTATCTACGGTTCAGACTGGTGGTGGTGTCATGGTTTGGTGGATCCATCCTGCCTTGTATCAATGGTTCAGGCTGGTGGTGGTGGTGTCATGGTGTGGTGGATCCATCCTGCCTTGTATCCATGGTTCAGGCTGGTGGTGGTGGTGTCATGGTGTGGTGGATCCATCCTTCCTTGTATCAGTGGTTCAGGCTGGTGGTGGTGGTGCTATGGTGTGGTGGATCCATCCTGCCTTGTATCTACGGTTCAGACTGGTGGTGGTGTCATGGTGTGGTGGATCCATCCTGGCTTGTATCTACGGTTCAGGCTGGTGGTGGTGTTGTCGTCATGGTGTGGTGGATCCACCCTGCCTTGTATCTACAGTTCAGGCTGGTCGTGGAGGTTCCATGGTGTGGTGGATCTATCCTGCCTTGTATCTACGGTTCAGACTGGTCGTGGTGGTGTCATGGTGTGGTGGATCCATCCTGGCTTGTATCTACGGTTCAGGCTGGTGGTGGTGTTGTCGTCATGGTGTGGTGGATCCACCCTGCCTTGTATCTACAGTTCAGGCTGGTCGTGGAGGTTCCATGGTGTGGTGGATCTATCCTGCCTTGTATCTACAGTTCAGGCTGGTCGTGGAGGTTCCATGGTGTGGTGGATCTATCCTGCCTTGTATCTACAGTTCAGGCTGTTGGTGGTGGTGTCATGGTGTGGTGGATCCATCCTGCCTTGTATCTACAGTTCAGGCTGGTGGTGGTGGAATGGTGTGGGGGAGATTTTCTTGGCTCTAGCAATGTGGACCTAATAAAGTGGCCCATGAATGTATGTGATCATTCGCTTTGCTGGATATAAGAAATGTACGGGTCAACCCATTTAAACCTAACACCTGTTGGTAGGTTCTGGAGACGTGTACAAGAATGTTCTCCAGCAGGAAGACCCTAAGGTGAGCTGGAACATCCAAAACACACCAATCGGGAAAGTCTGCCAGAAGGATCTCTCCAATTTCCAAGGAAAACAAGTAGGACACCAGATAGTAGTACATTCAACTGGACTTGTTCTGTAATGTTGAAAATGTTCGGTTGCTTCTCTAAGCCACCTGTGTAGATATAAATACTGGGGTATGTTCCTGACACTTGTTGGAAGCTACAAAACATCTTCAACGTTACAAAACAAGCCCACTTGGATGTGACTAACTACTATTACATACTGTATACCAGACCTGGAGAAATAACCTTCCTAGGTGGTAGGATACAAGTTCTCCACAGCTTCAGGGGTTCCAAGAGTTCTCCAGAGTCCTCCAAACAAATCCTCTTCTCTGTCTCCTTCTTACAGGTTCAGTTGTTCCTGAAGGACAGCTGGGTCAGTACACTGAAGAACGCGGTGCGCAGTAGCCTGCGGGAGGTGGGGAAAGGCTGGTATGACCTTACCGAATGCAATTGGGAAGTCTACTGCATGTCCAAACTGAGACAACTGATGGAGCTCATCAAGTTCAACCTGCAGGACTCCCTTCGCTTCCTAGTACAGGACTCCCTGGTCAGCTTCACCCAGTTCATCCTGGACGCCTGCTACAGTATTCTGACCTGCACCGAGGGCATGGACTGGGGGGGAGACCTGGTCAACAGTCCCTACAAGTGAGATATCTATGTGTCTATAGCAGTGCCATCTTAAAAGCATCATGGGCCCCAGGGCAAAGTAATGCATTGGGGCCCCTACCCGGTTGCATTAGGGTACCCCATCACAATGACTATATACTATACGTCAGGTGTCCTCCATCACAGTGTCCTTGTACTTCTGGTATCCTCCATCACAGTGTCTCTGTACTTCAGGTGTCCTCTATCTCAGTGTCCCCATACATCAGGTGTTCCTTTACATCAGGTATCCCACACATTAGGTGCCCCCCACCACAGTATCCCCATACATCAGATGTCCCCCATCACAGTGGCCCCATACATCAGATGTCCCCCATCACAGTGGCCCCATACATCAGATGTCCCCCATCACAGTGTCCCCATACATCAGATGTCCCCCATCACAGTGTCCCCATACATCAGATGTCCCCCATCACATCAGTGTCCCCCATGTCCCCATACATCAGATGTCCCCCATCACAGTGTCCCCATACATCAGATGTCCCCATACATCAGATGTCCCCCATCACAGTGTCCCCATACATCAGATGTCCCCCCATCACAGTGTCCCCATACATCAGATGTCCCCATCACAGTGTCCCCATACATCAGATGTCCCCCATTACAGTGGCCCCATACATCGTGTCCCCCATCACAGTGGCCCCATACATCAGGTGTCCCCCTTCACAGTGTCCCCATTTAGCAGGTGTCCCCATACATCAGATATCCCCCATCACAATGTCCTCCATACATCAGGTGTCCCCATATATGTCAGGTGTCCCCACCGCAATGTCCTCATACACCAGATGTCCCCATCAGTGTCCACATACATCAGGTGTACTCCATCACATCATCCCCATACATCAGATGTCCCCATACAGCAAGTATCCCACATCAGTTGTCCCCCCGTCGCAGTGTCCCCATACAGCATCTGTTACCATACATCAGGTGTCGCAGTGTCCCCATCAGTTGTCCCCCGTCGCAGTGTCCCCATACAGGAATTGTTCCCATACATCAGGTGTCGCAGTGTCCCCATCAGTTGTCCCCCGTCGCAGTGTCCCCATACAGCAGTTGTTCCCATACATCAGGTGTCGCAGTGTCCCCATAAAGCAAGTGTCCCCCATCACAGTGTCCCCATACATCAGTTGTCCCCATCAGTGTCCCCATACAGCAGGTGTCCCCATACATCAGATGTACCCCATCACAGTGTCCCCATACATCAGAATTGTGCCCCCCCCCCCACCTGCAGTGAAGTCAGCTCCTCCTTTCTCACCTGTGCGGAGTCTGAGATGAATTCTCAGTCTCAGTGCAGCTCTCTTCTGCCCCCTGCAGGAGGGAGGAGAAAGCGGAATCCTCTGTCTTGCAGAAGCTGGTCGCTGCTCATTCTTGAATCACGTCTGTCACAGAAGAGTGTCATCAGAGGCCAAATCACCAGTGAACTCCCAGCACAGCTCCCTATTACCCCCCCCCTCCTTCATGTCCTAGTCCTGATTATGGGCCCCCCATGCACCTGGGGCCCCTGGGCGGTGCCCAGGTGTGCCCATTCGTTAAGCTGGCCCTGGTCTATAGTGATCATGCTGCAGAGTTACATAGAATTCATGTCATGGATTACTGGTGAGCTCATCCTGGTTTCCCATTCTCAGGCCACGCAAAAACCCGATTTTCCTTCTGGATCTGGTCCTAGATGCCTCTGGAGTCCATTTCAGCACCCCGCTGGAGAATTTTGAGGTTACCCTGATGACGTTGTTTGATAAAGGGATTCTGGCGACTCATAGCGTGCCTCAACTGGAGAAGGTGAGAATTCGACTTTTATATCTGTATCTTCAATAAGATCCCTTCAGTGTATATCCATGGGAGGGGAGCTTTAATCTCCGTTATGTATGTACTTGTTCAGTTTGTCCTGGAGGACCTCTTTATTAGCGGCACCCCACTGCTGGAATCTGTGGGCCTTCACGAGCCTCCGGTGGAAGAATTGCGCAGCAACATCCGCAATGCCATTTGTAAAGCCCTGATACCATTGAAGGCGTACGCAAAGCAATACGAGAAATTCCTGGTGCTCAACAACACCGACATCGACACATTCATGAAGTGAGTACATATCCCAGGAGCTGCTGGACCACCGATTCCTAGAAAAAAAAATATCCCCAGACGTTAGATGGTGTCACTAAATCTGGCTGATTTCAGATCTGGCTGACTAATCCTGTTGTGCTTCTCTATGCAGTGCAAGCAAATCATGGTCGGTGGGAGGGGCCAGCAGGGCGCTGTACATAGCTACTTCAAAAATACATCCCACACCCTGCCTCAGTACTCTTCTCAAGAGCCCTCAGTCCTGATGCAAGGTGTGGGCTGTTTTTTTGGGAGGAGCTACTCAAATATCAAAATCCCCTGATGGGTGGATGCCAGTCTGGAAGGGTGGGCGGATGGCCCTGGGTAACACCGAGAACTGAAATCCAATGAATGAAAGGGGCGGGGTAGGGGTAGTCGGGCTGGTTTGGAATGTCATGCAATGTCTATAAATGTTTAAATTCAGATCCTGGTATTTCCTGCAGGATGTTCCAGGAGAAGAACCCCTCAGCGTCAGAGGTAAAGCTGGCGGTTGAGGAACATCTTCTGGAGAAGGAGCGCCTGGACAATGCCCTTCCCAACTCCATCATAGTCGGCCCCTTCCAGATCAACATCGAAGGTGTCAAACAAAACTTGTCTCGTAAACGCAAAGCCATTTCCAGTTCTCTGCTGGAGCTACTCGCTAAGAGCGTTCGCAAAGAGGTGGACGGGGTAAGTCAAACATGGTCGGTTTATGGGTCCTTGTAGTAGAATCCTGCATTCTCTGATTTACTCTCATTGATTGGACCACCGCAGATCTCAGACCAATTCCGAACCATCAGCCGAAACTTATACGAAAAACCAAACAGCGTGGAGGAGCTGACGGAGCTCAGAGAATGGATGAAAGGGGTTCCGGAGCAAATAAAAACTCTGGAGGTAAAACTTAAGCCCCTCCCCTGCACATCTTGCACTTGATCAGTTCCCTCCCCTGAGGTCCCCTCTTGCTCACTAAAACTGGTATCACTGATAGCAGCAGTCTTGGATTGCAGAATGCTTGGAGCACCAACCTGGAGTGTGCATGAGAGATCTGTTGAGCAAAGAAATCCTACACTTCTCTAACAGGGTTGCATGTGACGGGTGACAACACTCATCCTGGCAAGTGATGCCTACAGCAAGGGGACAGCAATTGTAGCCTCCCAATATTTCAATACATGTTTCCAATATTTTTCTTCAGGGCTTGGAAGGGTTGAAATCTGGATGACTAGGGTGGAGTAGAGAAAAATGCCAAACTAGGCAATGGAAGCAGACATTATCTCGGAATTAGAAAGTTTCCTTTCCATGATGTCTGCATTTCAGATCTCACAACCCTGATGAATGGGGCTCCTTGGAGCTTACAGGACCAAACTTCCGGGCCTTTAAATCTTCCCTCAGCTTTTGCCATTGTTTCCCTTTCTGGCATCTAGGCCTGAATTTGCATTCTTAGATGGAATTTGATGCCACAAGAAATGGGAATGTTCTGACATAAAGTGAGGTCGTTAATGTGGAATCTCTTCTATTCTCAACAGGAACAAATTGCGAAAATCATGGCTGATTACGAGGTCATCGATGAATTCCTGTTTAGCCTGTCCCAGGAAGATTTCAACACAAAGTGAGTTTATAGATGAGAAGCATCATCAGCTCTGACCACTATGGAACTACAAGTCCTAGCAAACAGTAAAAGGGACGTGTGGCTCCACAGTGGCAGTGGCTCAGCCATGTCTGGTGTAGAGATACACAATATGGCCCAATGGTTGTAGGCGTTTTACCATAACATACCTATCTATATGGCCAAACGTGGCTGACTCTCCCAACAAATGACTTTGTTCAGGTGCTTCCAGTGAAGGGTCTCGTTATTACTACAGGATACAAAGACATTGTAGACAATAATGTTCTTCCAACCTTGTGGTAACAGTTTGGTGGAGACCCTTTTCTGTTTCTGCATGACTGTGCCCCTGTATACAAAGCCACCTCCATAAAGACATGTTTTGGTGTGGAGGAACTCGAGTGTCCTTCACAAAGCCCTGACCTCAGCCCTACTGAACACCTTTGGGATGAACTGGAATGTCAACTGTGAGCCAGTTTTTTTTTGGGTGCCCAACATGAGTTCTGATGTGTGAGCCAGGTCTTTTATGTTTTTTAGTGAAACCAGGTTTTGGGAGCCAGATCCTTCTTCTTTTTTTTTTGGTGGCCAACAGGCCTGAGAACCCTTTTTTTGTGCCCAACATGAGGCCTGTGTGTGAACCAGGTCTTTTATTTGCTGCACAACAGGGGGCCTGATGTGTGAGCCCATTCTTTTTTTTTTTTTCTGTGCCCAACATGAGGCCTGATGTGTGAGCCAGGTTTTTTTTATTTGATGTCTAACGTGAGGCCTGATGTGGGAACCAGGCCTTTTTTATTGGTGTCCAACAGGAGGCCTGATGTGTGAACCAGGTCTTTTTTTTTGGTGCCCAATGTGAGGCCTGATGTGTGAGCCAGCTCTTTGGTTTCTTTGGTGCCCAACGTGAGGCCTGATGTGTGAGCAAGGTCTAATTTTTTGGTGCCCAACAGAAGGCCTGATGTGTGAGCCAAGTCTTCTTTTTTTTTTTTTTTGGTGGCCAGGTCTTCTCATCCAACATCAGTACCTGACCTGACAAATGGGCACAAATTACCACAGGCAGTCTCCAAAATCTTGTAGAAATCCTTTCAGAAGAGTGGGGGATGTTATAGCAACAGAGGGAAGGCAACTCAATATGAATGGCCATGGTTTTGGCACAGGATGTCCAACAAGCTCATATAGGAGCAATGGTCTGGTGTTTACATCCCTCTGGCCATTTAATGCATTTATTGGTCATTTCTGACACACTGGAAGCTCCCTGATTCTTTTGCCATCTTCCATTGCTAGGTGGGCCGTCATTGCTTGGCCACAAAAGATTATAACCACCATAGAAACTGTCCGAGAGCAACACTTAGAGGATGAGGAACGCTTCCGGAAAATCCAGGTCATGGACCAGAACAATTTCTTGGAGCGTCTGGACTCCCTGCAGGTCGGTTACAGAGCTGCTGCCAATCTGTAGGTGATATAATCCATATGTCCGTATGTCCCCTCCCCCTGACTGTGCAAACTCTCATTATTCCCAGATGGTAGTGGCCGGATTCTCCACTCACACTGATATAAGTCGCGCTCATGAGATCGCCAATGAAGTTCGACGGGTCCACAAGCAGCTGAAGGAGTCGCAGCAGTTGGCGCAAATGTACAACAACCGAGAGAGACTGTTTGGCCTGCCAGTGACCAATGTGAGCATGTCCCATATCGTACAAATGGCCGCTTATAGCAGTCCCAGATACAGTTGTGCCCAAAAGTTTCCCTCCCCTGCAAGAAATTGTGAAGTTTTGGCATTGATATTGAAAATATGACGGATCATGCCAAAAATGCTCTTTTATTGAAGGATGATGATCATATGAAGCCATTTATTATCAAATAGTTGTTTGGCTCTTTTTTAAATCATAATGATAACAGAAATCACTCAAATGGCCCGGATCAGAAGTCTCCGCCCCTGTATCAGAAGTCTCCGCCCCCTGGAATGTTTGGCCTTGGTACAGACACACAAGGTGACACACGCGGGTTAAAATGCCAATTAGAGGTTAATGTCCCCCATCTGTGGCTTTTTAAATTGCAATTAGTGTCAGTGGGAAGGGGAAGTTCTGCTTTAAGCCTTTGTCCCCTGCTCCCCATTAAGGATTGGCACCTTTGGGAAGCGGGTGCCCGAATTTGACAGGTACCCGCTCCAGCTTCGTCTAGGCGATCAGAAGCGGAAGTCGTCCTCCCCCCTCCCTCCCCATACTTTTCTGGGACACATGACAGGTCCCAGAAGACTACGGGGGCCATTCACAAAGTGCAGCGCTTCTCACGCATGCGCAGTGGGCACTCGGCTGTGAAGCCGCAAGCTGTCACAGCTGGGTGCCCACACTGAAGATGCCAGGGAGAGAAGACGGCCGGTGAAACCAGCCGTGGTGAGGACACCGCCGGACCGAGGGACAGGTAAGTGTCGGTATTTTAAAAAGTCAGCAGCAAAAGTTTTTGTAGGTGCTGACTTTTTTTTTTTTTTTTTCAGGTGGAACTCCCCGCTTTAACTATTCTTTTCTATTCTATCGTATTCCTTTTTTTTCTATTCTATTCTTGTATTTTCTATTCTATTCTTATCTATTCTAATCTTTTCTATTTTATTCCTTTCTCTTCTATTCTGTTCTATTCTGCTCTTTTCCATGCTGCTTTTTCTATTTTATTTTTTTATTCTATTCTATTCCTTTACATTTTATTCTATTCTTTTATCTTCTATTTTATTCTACTTTATTCTGGCATATTATATTCTATTCTATTCTATAAAACAGCCTAAGTAGAAATTGTCATCTTATTTCACTTTTATTCCTAACTGTATTGATTGCAATATGTTTCCAATTCAAATGTATTTTTGAGTTCATATTAGTTTTCGAATTCGGATAATTCGTTTCGTTATACTTTTATTTTGGATTCGTCAAAATTTGTTACTGCTGTGATTCGGAAATTCAAATACATGCAAATCTCCAAATAACGAAAATTTCGGCTCAATTTTGATTTGTAACAAAACGAATTGCACACGTCTACTTCAGATTGTCTTCCCAACTCATTCTTTTGGTCCTTGATCCTCTTTTGCCCATAGTCCCTGGGTGGGGCGGTAGAAAGCTGCGATGTAGGAATGGCCAGTGCTGATGCTTTGAGATCCAACTCATGTTGGCTACATGTGTGTTCCAACCTTTAATTATCTGTTTGGCTGTAGTTTAACTTGAAGTTTCGCAAGTCAATTTTTGATATGTGCTGCCGTTTTTAGCCTAAAGATCTAAAAATAGATTCAGTTCTTTTAATTTTCTAAAAGGTTTTGGTATTTCTCTGTGTAATGTGTTAAAATGCTTTGATACAGTGAAGGAAATGTGTATTTGCTCCCCGGCTGATGCTGAATGTTCGCCCCTCACCCAGAAATGATCGGTCTAACAATGGAATGTTCGCCCCTCACACAGAAATGATCGGTCTAACAATGGAATGTTCGCCCCTCACACAGAAATGATCGGTCTAACAATGGAATGTCCGCCCCTCACACAGAAATGATCGGTCTAACAATGGAATGTTCGCCCCTCACACAGAAATGATCGGTCTAACAATGGAATGTTCGGTGTAACACTGAGAGACAGAATACAACAACAAATTCAGCAGAAATGCGTCTAACAAATGATGACTGATCTGCATGTTCATGAGGGAAAGAAGGATTTGATCCCCTATCATTCAGCAGGATTTTTGGCTCCCAGGTGTCTCTCATACAGGTAACAAGCTGATAAAAAGTAATATGTAGTGAGCGCTCTCAAATGTATACAGCAGCTAGAACACTTCAGGTAACCACAATACCTATAAAATATACGTATATCAATTGTAACAAACAACAGTGCAGCGCTTCAAGAATTGATAAATGGATGAAGAAAAAATGTACATA